ATGATGAGTCATGAGAGTAAACCTGTAAGTGTAAACCTGCAGCACCTGATTATTACAGCTTTAAACATGGCAGCTTATTTATTTTTTCCATTTCTAAGAAGGATGATTCTTTTATATTAACATGTGACAGAGGTGGTTGGTTAGAGGAGTGGTTGGTTAGAGGAGTGGTTAGTTAAGAGTCCTCTTCTCTCTGTCAGGGTGGTGCTGGTGTGTAGCCTGGTTCTAGTCTCTGCATGTGAAATAAAACACCCACCTTCTTCTGCAGATCTGCTACTTGACTGCTGCACTTCCCCAGCTCGGCCTGGCTGGTGTCCTCGGTGTACTCTCTTCTCTTGGTTGCCACATTATCATAGTGAGCCGGCTGCAGGGTAGAGACACATAACAACGTGTTACTGGTGTCACCACAGACGGGTCAGAGCAGCCTCAGGGTATTCAGGACAACAGAAACGTGAGTGCAGACAGATAAACRTCAGCTCACCTCAGTGGGCTTCCTCATGGTCYTGGAGGTCGAGTCATAGTGGAGCATATCATACGGGTCGACCCAGTCATCGTCCGCCTGCTGCCCCACAGCAGAGACCAGAACCAGGCTACACACCAGCACAGTGAGCACCATCCTGACAGAGAGAAGAGGACTCCAACCACTCCTTTAACCAACCACACCTCTAACTCACCGCTGCTTTAATCAACTACTGATCTAACCCACCACCTCTATAACTAACCCCTCCTCTAACTACACCAGTGTTTGTAGTTAGCTCGCTAACATGGACGTGCAGCAGGAGGAAAGGGAAACCTCCGCGTGGAGATGAGACGAGACGAGGCTGACTCACACTGAGCTCCACGAACACACGTTCATCTGAAGTAAACATCAACCTGCTCTCCACAACAACAGCTCATCGATACAACTACGAGTTAGCGCCACAACCTTTGACCCGGAACGAACGGAGCACACTTACACCGCAAAGGCGCATGGGAGTTGTAGTCGGTCACGACCGGCACTTTATTTTTTTATTTTTTCGGGGACGGTGACTATTTTCTTGATGATAAAAACTGAATAAATGACATGTGAGGTGGAAGTATATGTGTGTTCTTTATAAAAATGGAATACATATAATGTACTCCAAATATATAACATGAGAAGTAAAAGGATTAAAGAAAGAAAAAGAGTACAAGCAATAATTAAGTAATTAATGTCGCAGGCTGTGAGAGATGATCAGAGATTTCAGATATTTCACAGTGAGATCCACTGACAATGATTGATAACATTATGCAGAAAAGAAAACTTGATTATGCTGATTTGAATTTCTGCTGCATGAAACAGGGAAGTTATTTCACTCGGTGTGAGTCGAGTTTAAGCTGCACTTAATCTTTTTTGTTCCATTTTTTCCTGAATGACAGGTTGACACATCTGAGCCAATTTTTTTTTCCAGATTTAGCATAACTATTAAAATCCCAAGAAACAACCATAATCGTTTTGCACCACAATTAAAAATCTAAAAATACAGCTTCAGCATTTGTTTTTTAAACCTGTATGCTTTTATATATTCACATATTTTTAAAGCATGACTGAAAAGTAAAGGTTTTCATGCTACCCATTGTCTGTGCAGTTACATTGTATTTAATGACAATATTTTAGAGGTGGAAAATTTAAACCTACTGATATTTAATTTTAAATCAAACATTTATTTGCCTGTGAAAAAATAAATGTTGCTGCATTAGGAGCGATGAACTAATGACACTTTTTCTAGTTGATCACACACCTGAGTTGCTGGTACTTCAGTCAATTTTYTCAATCAAATATTATGTCACCAATAAAACTAGTATTTGTACTGTCAGTTTTATTTGAGTCATACCAATAAAGCACAATGATCAAATAAATGACACAAAAGATACTGAAATAACATATTTATTGCAAAGATGTGTCTGTAATATTTACATAATTAAAT